GACAGGGAATCGGGATATAAGGGTTCTAGAGCAAGGGTTCACTTCTTTGATAACTGTACGACTTTCCACGAGTAAACCTGCTGTCTGAGCCCCCCAGTTTCTTTATTGGTAAAAAGAGATTGCATTACCAGAGGTTACAAATTTGGGGCCCACAGACTACTCAACTCCCAAGGGTCCATGGGATTTTATAAACTCGGATGTGGTAGAAATTTACATGTTATTTTTACTAATCTCTAGCTGAAATTCAGCATTTCTTTCAATTATGGATGTAGCAGCAGGCCACAGTATTAGCAATACCATGACTTTGTCACTATAGAAATGACATGTTTTAAAATCACACTTCAGCTGTTAGTCACAAAAAAACATATTGCTCAAAAATAAGTATTTTTAATAAATTGAAAAATATATTTCAATAGTTTCCTTCACAGTCCTATGTATTTTATGCAATTAAAACATTCTTGAGAAGTCCACAGACTTTACCAGGCTACTGAAGGAAGCTACGGTACAGAAAGGATTAAGAACCCCTGCAAGCCCTATAAATTTTAGCTCTTAATTTCTATGAACACACCATATACACATAAAGTTCAAAACAGGCAGAACAAATTCACAGTTAGTTCGGGATGGGGGGTAGTAGTGACAGGATAGAGAGGCTTCTGGAGTGCCAGTAATATCCCATTTCTTGAGCCAGATGATAGTTACACAAATGTATTTGCTGTGAAAATCCATAGAACTGTACACATATAATTCTATGCATTTTTCTATATGCATGATCTATCTTGGAAAAACAGTTCAAACATATTTTTAGATAAGATAGACTTGAAGCTGTATTTTGGAGCTTCATTATCCTGGTATTGGAATGCAGTCAATTTTAATTTTAATTGTCTAACAGGTTAAGTCCCCAAAGGAGTTTATTAAAAGTAAGTAACTAAGTAAGTAAATGAATGAATAAATAAATAAATAAATAAAAAGAGGAAAAGTGACGGTGTCTCTCTGGCTTCCAGAAATTCTGACTTGGTGGTTTTGAAGTGCAATCTAGGAATCTGCATTTTAACATTCTGGTTAAAATTTTTAGGTGGTTAGCTGCACTTTTAGGTGATTCTAACATTTTGTACTCAAGCACAACCTTAGATTAAAAAATTGAATGAAAAATGAAGACAGGTAGAGCCCGGTAGCTTAGAAAAGGAAGCTTATTTTATAGATATTTTGATTTGGAAGAAACCACAGTGGTAGTATTTTCTTGAGCTTCTCATATTCTTTCCACAATATTCCTGACAGATGGGCATCCAATTCTTGTGTACTTATTTCCATACACAAAATAAACTAATTTCTTCTTCCACATGAATCCCTAAGTTACAAGACTCTTCGTAGTCTCTTCTTCTCCTGGCTTTACAGCCTTAGTCCCTTCAACCATTCCTCTCCAATGTCTCTAAATCTGCTATTCTGCTTGGCACACAGTAAGTACTATGTTAAGTGAACGGTGCCACATCACTCTAAAACAGTAGGATCTGTCCCTTCACTTAAACAACTGACTAAACCAAGCCCTTTCTATAAACGATATTGAATTCTGTTAAACCACATCTTGATTTTGAGTCCCATTCCAGTCTTTCTAAATAATTCAGAAAGGGAATACAAACATATTAACAATACTATCCATCTTTTGAGATAAGCACACTAAGCTTTCTTCTGTACTCTGTTAAGGAGTTTTGCGAATACCACATTAAGAACAAAAAAATGAGAAAGGAATCCTAGAAAGTAACCAGCAGTCACAGAAAACAGAAAACAAACGCTGCATAACGATCCAGAAAGAAATCAGAAAGGAACCACCTCTCTGCTCACTTTTATCCTTAACTGTCCCTTAAAAATATCAACCCTCCCCCAACACTTTAGCTTATCATGTATATCAAAAAGCCTCAGAGGAACGTGAAGAAGTTCTGAGCAATCCAAAGCCAACAGGAAATCAACTACCTCAACAACTACTGATCACCTAATATGAGCACCCATAGAAACAAAGATCCCTTAAAAACTACGGAACACCACAACGTAACAGCTGCATGGGATCTCCCTCCAAATTATCATTATCAGAAGGAATGTATCCCACCATCCACTTTGTTGTCAAAAGCCATTATATACAAGCTGTGAAAATTAGTAAGATGGGTCAGTTATTTCAGGACATGCTATAAAGAACACTGGATTAGACTCAAAATTTTGGACTCTGACCATGTGATGCACATGATGCCTAAAATCGATTTACCCTTGTGCCTCAATTTCCCTACACACCCTGCTTCTATCACAGAGATTCTGTCAAATAGAAAACTATTCAAACGTGTTATAAAAATACTATTAAATAACAGCAGAAAATGTTACAGGAACACCAGGCTGAAATATACTCGAACTGAATGAAGACCCTGTTTATTGACCACCCAGTTTCTCTGCCTGGGAAACAGATGGACAGGCAGCAGAAGTGTGCCCGACAGGATGACAGGAAGGGGACCTGCCACACCTGAAGGGTAAAAGTGAGACAGAAAGGTGGGTTAAAGATGTCAAAGTTTGATGTGCAAGGTTCACTGCTGCTACAGTATGATCTTTTCTTCTTAATTAAGGGCAATAAAAAGAGTGAGTGGAAATACGTAAATCTCCAGTCAAGTGAGTTTTAGCCAGGAACGCTGACACTGCAGACGCGATAGTTCAAGCAGCATTGTGCTTTGCAAAGAGAGCTAGCATCATCATCAGGGTCTAAGAAATGCTCACTTGTTAAGCGCCAGTGTACCTTGGAATGTATGTATAATAGCTGTGGTTGTTAGAAAAGGCTGGATTAAAATTTAGAGATCCAAGTTCTAATCCCAGAGCTTTGCTATTAAACTAAGCAATATACCTTTGTTATGTAAACTTTTGCTAGGATTTACCTAAATATTAGGAAAAGACTATCTCTAGGCTTTCTTCCAGTTTTTAAACTGTAACACTATTTTACAGACGTATAGCTATAAACTCATAAAATCTAACCTAAATATGTTAGGTATTGATATAAATGTAAGGTACACACATTTATAACCAATGACATAGACGCTGAATGTCCTGAAGACAGCATTATATTAGAAGCTCCAGTATAAGACGGGGCTTAAAAATGTGGAAAATATATTTGGTAAAATGCATCAGATTAATATTAACAAGATCAAGTTTCAAGAGGGAAAGCCAATAATTACCATCTTTGTTATTTCATCTATCCCTTAAAAAATACACTGATATTTACATTAAATAATTTTCAAAAGACACGCTACTAATCTGAGTTTCCAGATAATTAATTTTTGTCTTTAACTCTTAAATGCAGTTAAGAATGACAGACAACTTACACTTTTAAATAACACAAAGCCCCCATTTGAAATGTAGGCTCTCTCAGAAACCCTCAATGTAAAGCCCTTCAAGATGGAAGTGCCTAGGAAGCAAACTTAATTTTAAATGCTTTTCTCCAAACACCCTTCTTTAAAACAAAAGTGTAGACTGCCATTAATTTTCAGTTAAAAAAAAAAAATACACGGAAGGGCAGAAAATGCCTATGGGAAAGCCAGCTCTAAATTCTGCATAACAAAATTAACACTCACATTTTGGTTACCTAACATGAAAGACATTAGAGCGCACTGAGAGATAACATGTTGGAAGTTCTGGGTTCTGGTTGTTAGCTCTGCCACGAAGAAATCAAGTGATCTCTTAATAGCCTGGCTTTCTCATTTGTAAATAAAGGGAAATGGTAATGGCCTGTAAGGTTCCATTTCGACTCAAGTATTTCAAAATTCTTATGGTCACATTTTTTAGCTGCTTGAAAACAGGAACAGAAAACTGATTTTGCCCCCCTTCCCACATGATCATTCTCTGTCAAGAAAAGCTTGAGTCTTATTTTCATATTTTCTTCCAACCAAAAAAATAATAATAAATAAAAGGAGACATATTTAGTGTTTGTGCATCTTTGAATCAGACACTATTAATCATTTCTTTTAAAATTAAATTACCTACCTCACTGGGTGTTGTGAGGATTAATTCATTAGTGTTTGTAAAGCACTTTGAGATCCTCAGGTCAAAGGCGCTATAGAAGTGCAAAGTAGTAGTATTATTACTAGATTCTTGCTTATTTAAGGAATTTCACAATCCTTTAAAAGCTAACTCTGTGTTATGATTTAGACATCTATTTGTAAAACCCTGCATTTTATCCACATTACTTTTAACTCTTCTTGAATATCTTATAGATAGACAGGGGCAGAATGTCTGGAAACAAATGATAAAGGTTTAACTTTGATCTACAAATGGAGGGAGAGACTAAGGGAAAATCCATTGTGACAAATTTTGTTCAGCATAAAATTTTAGTGAGAAATCTTGTCAATCAGATTTAGAAGTGTGCCTAAGTTGTACCCAAAACAAAACCAAACCCTACTTTAATCACAGATTCTGCAATGAGAAATTCCTTTCTTCAAAGAGAAAGGGAAACAATTTTCAAATCAACTCCACTTTAAGAGGGGTACTGAGCTTATAAATTACGTTACATGCGTATACATGCAACTGTCATTTAAAACCTTTATACTTAAATCACAGTAATAGTATTAGTATAAACTGATGTCAAAATAATTAAGCAGCTTTTTCCTTAAACTACGCTCCCACCCCCAGTTACACAAAGCAAACTATGCACTGAAAAGAGGTCAAAGCAATTTTGCTTTTATGGAATTTTAAGAGGAAAAAAAAAAGAGGGCCAAGGCTTTAAAACCAGTTAAAATCTTTTATTCCACACTTCCCACCCCTTTCTCTAACCAAATCTTCTCACAATTAAATCAAAACAACACACACACGTACACATACACACACACAGAGCTAAGAGAATCAGAGCCATCTATACATTGGATACTCTGCTCGATAAACACACTTTACAAATCTGCCAACATCCTCTGATGAGATTCTCCAGCATAAGCTCCAGTCCCAAGAGCAAACTGAAATTTAGATATTAAACTTTAAATACTTACCTCCTGCTCCTGTTGAAAGATGACGACTCTACCACCTTTATCTCCGGTTGCTAGTAATTCTCCAGAATGATTAAATTCTACTGTAGAAATTATATCTGCTGTATAATTGAAACAAAAATGAAAAAAAAGACATTAGTTCTTTCTCAACTCACTACAGAGTTTCTTAATGAGAACTTAGCATGTTTTTCCTAATATATTCCAAGTCTATATATCAACCTGCCATCAGAAATAAAGTAAATCTAAAGTTCTTTCATGAATATTTTGGTTCACCCAGAAGAAAAAAAACTCCCCAGAGTAAACCAGTGACACTATTTTAACAAACAGGAACACGACAAATAATAAACACAAGCACTTTATTAACATTTCACTAAATTCATGAATGTAAAGAAATCAACAATTTGTGAAACATTCTATGACAGCACCATTAAACATTAATATCGATAATTATTGTGCTAATTTTCTTTCTGATATACTTTTGATAAGCTTCTTTATGCAAACCCAAAGATGGTCTATAAAATTAAGACAGATATAAATAAAATGGGGAAATTTTTAAAATGTAAAAATAATTGCAGGTGGAAATTTAACAATCATAAATATATAAATTAAAATTATGGCTTCTTAAACAAATGTTTGCAAATAGAACACACTTATACCAGCAATGCTTTGTGCTATGCACCTTCAACATGCACAGCTCTTCTTGTGGCTCCCAAACACAGCAGGGGCTACTAGAATCAGTCATGTTACACCCAAAGTCGGTGCTAACTTCACAGTCAAGTTCAAATAAAATTATCAGGGTTTTTTCCTTGCTTTTTGACACCAGAGCCATTTTCCTAAAGAAAAAAATCTAAGTTACAGAATTGGGCATTAAGATAAAGCAATTACACTATACAATTCACCATTTTCACAAGCATTATGCCAAATTAGGAAAGACCCTATCATACGCATGTTACATAAACAATCAAACTTTTACTACAAGAGAAGGGTAATTTTCTTGCCTATATTAGCTAACTGTAAGAATTTTAAAATGTAACTTTATATAGTAAAGAACACTGTATACTTTAAATTTTAAAACTTACTGACCAATGTATTGTATCATATCAATAACCTGTCCAGCACAGCATTCTACCATTTTCATTTTAGTGATTTTTCCAAGTTCAGCTTGATTTTAGAAAGCTTTCTTTGCTTCCTCCATTGTCTAGGTCCAAGGCACCTTACCTTTTTGGAACACTCTGAGAACCTACTGAAAGTTCACATGCTCTCCCAAGAAACTGTACATATTTAAGTACACACAAAAATTTGCATATAATTTCAAAAGGTTTGGACAGCATCCCACCTCCAGGTTAAAACCTTTAGCCCAGACAACTCACCGTGGCCGGTGGTATCAGGAGGAAAGAATAAATCTAGTGTTTACACTACATGCAAATGTAACACCACGGTGTAAAACTGAATATACTGTACTATTCTGTAAAGCCCAACATCAATAAGTACTTAAAAGCCATTCTATTAGGTGCTCTGTACTGTATTTATCTCTGTAGTAAATATAATAAGGGATTAAAAACATACATAGTCCCTGCACTTAAAGCACATTATAGTATAGTTACAGAGAGAAAGTAAGCAGGAGCTAACAATATCAGAACAAATAGTTACATCTTATTTGAAGGTTAGATTCTAAAATCAGGGAATAAGGTAAAAGCCATACATAGTAAAAATTATCTTTAAATTCAAATCCCTCAGACAGGCACCACTTTGGAAATGCAAACTCTTTCTCTTGTTCTTTTAAGTCCAACTCAGCCAATTTTCCCTACAGCATTGATAGTTAGTGGTTTCTTTGGCTAACTCATCAAATGAACTAGTTAATTTGAATATAAAGTCATGCTTCACCAAGAACTCCTTATCTCTCGACTGTAGTGTATGCTCTTGGCTTGGTGAAATGCTCACACCCGATACCAACTCCAGATTTATTCTCCTTTTCACTCAATGGAATAACAGGAAGAGTAGGCTCAGTATTTAAATTATTTCCTCTTTCCCCAGGTCCAAATTGTTGCAGCCACCTAAATTAATTCCTTGTTAGGTAGATGAACTATTACAGATAAGACTTAACAGGGCATATGTCAGTGATCGCTGGTATGACCAGCCTGGCTGGCCTCTCTGTTGGGCAGTAGTAAAAAGCAGGGAGGACAGAATGCTGCAGGATGGGCTCCATTTCTAATGGGGAGAAATGTCGATCTTCCTTAGGTGAACTGGACAGGGGGAAATCTAGAGGTGATTAAGTCAGTAAGGAGATCATTATAATAAGAGGATTGAGGAGATCTGGGATGGGGGTGGTGGCAGTAGGGATTCCACACCTGTATTATTCTTAGAGACAGAACAAGAATCAAGGAATAAAACAGCAGGCACAATACCCCCAAGTACTGAAGACATTACTGACTCACATAGCTGGTTACAATGAGGTCACTGAACATCGGATGGGGAAGGGAAGGAGACGTGTGTGCACGTGCATGGGGGGGAGCACATGCATGGGGTGTGGAGGGGAGGAAAGAAAAGAGGAAAAGACCAATAATTTAGTGCAGGACGCAACAGGAATAGTAAGACATCTGCCCTTACAATGTGTCACTTCTTATCCTAAGAATGGTTATTTTACAACAAGAGCTGCAGAGTAAAGTGAAATGATACGTGTTTAGTACCAAACCAGCTTTGCAGCAAGGGTACAAAACTCTAAGAGGTACATTTGAGACAGGCTGAGGAACCCTAGAAACAAATGGCCTACACAGTGAGAGGCTGAACGTCAGGAAACGACAAGAAACAAAGATCTATACCATAAAAGTCAACCCACTTTAAATCCTTGAGGGAGAGAAATATTGAGTGAAAGGCATACAATTTTCTCATTTTAGATATTTTTAAGACACTACTGTTTGTGACTATCTTGCCAAAAGCCAATGAACAAACAGAAAATTTTAGAAATAGCTAACCAAGCCACTGACGCTTAGTGAGTAGCGTAGAGGAATTTTATTTGGGGGAGGGGTGGGCAGGCAGACTCATGGCCTCCTTGCTGTGATTTTTATACTGCATATATTTAATATAGCCATATTTCAGATAAGTAAATTATTTTCCTGCCTTGTATGATGAAGTTAAATAGGTACCACGCCATGGTGTTCCCTCCTCCTTCCCCACAATAAAAGAAAGGGGAGAAAAGAAACACCATGATTTCTGGATGCTTGGCCATCCACACATGTGTGAGAGAGCCACCATATACACAAGCACCTATTAAATCTCCAAGTGTATGACTACTTTTAAAGTTTTTTTGAGTTGTAAAATGCCTAGATCTCACCAGGTCTCACTGAGAATATGACATATAAAAATGATGAATAAAAGGGAGAATAAGATCAAATTCTGCTTTGCAGACCAAGAAAAATATCCAGGAATCCGTTATGGAGTATGCTATGAAACTGAGCTTTGAGCTGTATGTGATTCTACACCCTGGTGTGCCAAGAAGGGGATATGGGTTTGCCTGGATACGGCAAGCACCCAAACCTGTAACCTCCAGTTTTGAGAAAGCTCTTTACCTCAGTTTACCTCAGTGTGCCATACAAACATTTCTGTTTTCAAGTGTGCCAGGATGTGTAAAAGATGAGGAAGCATGGCTCTAAAAATAGTGCTCCCACATCATGTGCGCTGATACCCAAATGAGGTTGGTCAAATACTGCTATCTATGTTTTTGAAAGTAACAGTAATTCTGCTCCTAGAAAATATTCTTCTAATGTTCTGATTCCTATGCCACTGAAAAATATTACAGAGTAGATGACTGCAGGAAGTCTACAACAGCACTGTTCGACAGAACTCTCTCGTTACCATGGAGGTGTCCTATATCTGCGCTGTTCAATACAGTAATCACTAGCCACATGTGGCTCCTGAATTTTTAACTTTAGCCATGTGTCTAGGGGCTATCATACTGGACAGCCTAGGTCTAAAACATTACAGAGTGGACACTGACTTCTACTGCAAAGCCAAGAATGCTGGAACTAGGAGAATTTTGAACCTTTAAACAGTGCACTATGGGTAAAACAGAACTACCGTGCACACACACGCCCAGATTGTTACCTCAAGGAGCAGGCTGAAAATATAAATGCATTTCATGAAAATTTAGATTCCTGGATACTATTTTTAAAACAAACTGTTAATGAAAGCCTCAAAAACTTGAGAACACTTTACTCTTGAGATTAAAGTCACTATCATATACTTTAAAAAGGCAAAGACATTAACCTCACTGTTAGAGTCATATTACTGAACTCAAGGCAGGGTCCGGTATAACACATCAACTAGGTCTGTTCTCATAAACCAACAAAAAACTTCCTCTTCTAAAGAGAAAAATAAGAATCTTTCCTATGACCAATAAAAATGTTATTTCACAATGGAAAAAAACACCTGTGTTAATCATCTAAAGAACATTCTAATACAGTTAATAAAAAGGAAGGACTCTATCAGAACATCAGACAACGGTCCTACTGTGCCTTAAGCCAACACACAGCCATTTTAGGCACACACTAAAGCAAGATTTAAAAGGCACAATCCGATTTTTGGTAAGAAAACTTAACACAATGTTTTTGACCTTTGTTATGAAATTCTATATACTATTAATAAAAACCAAGGAATTTATAATGTGTTACACAAAATGGAACTCTAATTTCTTCCAACCTCTTCGTTCTAGACTGTCAGCGCCCAGGTTTCATCCTAAGAAGGTGAAATAATCACTTTCTTTTGGGGGTGGAACGGTAATTGGTGGTGGTGGGAATGACAAAAGCAGTGTTACTGGTCTGTTTTCACTTCATCAGGCACACCACACCATCCCCTTGTTACCTACCTTCTCTATTTCTTATGTACTCTAATAAACAGAATAGGACACAATCAATCAGACAACCGAAGGTTCAAAAGTATAACATGCTCAGCATAAAAATCAGATGAGGGAAAATTAATAGATAGTATCTATAAATGGTAGTAATTAACAATAATGACTAAATATTAAGTGATCAAATTATTATTAGCTCTGACATTCTCTAAATACTTCAACTCCTGCACTGTAAGACACTTTATGGGGTTACTC